AACATCTTGCATAACTGTAGTATACTATCATAACCAGGATATTGACTTTGATACAATTCATGATCTAATCCAGATTTTCCCAGTTTTAGTTATACTCATTCCTCTGTGTGTATGTATTTAGTTCTATACAGCTTTTTCTTTTTTCTTTTTTTTTTTAAGATTTTCTTTATTTGAGAGAAAATGAGTGAGAGAGAGAGCACGAGTGGGCAGAGGGGGAGAGGGAGAGGGAGAAGAGATGCCCTGCTGAGCTCGGGGCTTGATCATGGGACTCCATCCCAGGACCCTGGGATCATAACCTGAGCCGAAGGCAGACGCTTAACCGACTGAGCCACCCTGGCGCCCCTGTATAGCTTTTTCACGTGTAGGTTTGTACATCCGCCACCACCATGGTCAAGATCCACAAGGATCCCTCATGTTGCTTTTTTACAACCACATCCCCTTCCCCTTCCCTCGCCCTTGGCAATAGAAATCTGTTCTCTTCTAAAATGTTGTCCTTGGACATAATATCTTTTTACAAACATGTAATCACACGTTTCTCTATCATGTATACTTTTCCAAAGTGCTCTCGCTTTCCTTATGACAATTCTGCAAGGTAGCCAGGGAAGGCTTTCGTATTTTAGGCCAGTAAACAGGTTCAGAGATGCTCAATGATTTAATGAAGGTCACATGTTTAGCAGTACTCTAGAACTGGGACCCAAGTCTGATATCAATCTTAGACATTGTCTACCTGACCAGACTGCCTCTTCATCTGGGAAGACTTGTTCATTAGAATCCAGAGACTCTAGAATGAGTAAATAGGAGAAGGTGAGGACATGGTGGCCTTACTGAGTGAGGGACAGGTGGGGCTAGCTGGGAGAGATAGGTAGGGGGCTATGGGATCAGGCTTACAAAAATCCCCAAAATGTGGAGATGTAAGGAAACCAGAGATAAAGAAACAAAACCAGACCATCCCGTCCTAGGTGTTAGAGGTGGGGGTCTTGTTATAACAGCTATTTGTGACCAAAAAAGAATTACCAGACCCTAAAAAGGAAGCAAGCCATTGAAGGTGTTATCACTAGTCCTTACTCAATGGTGCTATCAGTAGAAATGTTAAAAGGATTTAAGTTCCCTGGTTAGCCTTCAATGAAAGACCAACTCTAAAAGCCCTCAGTGGCAACCCTGTTGGGACCCCTTTCGCTCCTGAGAGCTCTTTCTGTATCCTCACTCAATAAAACTCTATCACTTTACTCACTGTCCTTGGTCAGGGCAAGATGCATTCTTCAACTCTGTGAGACAAGAACCTCGTTCTCCCACTTCATTGCCACCTGAAACAAAAGGAGAATGTCTAGAGGTGAAGGGACAGATGCGGTGACAGGACCCATCAACATTTTCAGCAATATGCTTCCTTGACCAGGAGGGTCTCTGACCCCTGAGAGCTGGGGACACAACCACTGATCCCCAGCTTGTTTTATTCAGACCTTAAAAGGAAGTGAGGAATGACTATCAGAAAGAAGTTCTGACTCCAGTTGTTTTGTCTTGCAGGCAGAGAGTAGGTTCCAGCCTCAGCTTTTTCATTAGTGCAGTGTTTTCATTAAAATCTCCATTAACTTGTTTGTGGCAATGAGATGGAATTATCCCTCCCACCAGGCCTGGGGTGAGATGCTTGCAGAGGAGCTCCCTTTCCTTCCGGCAGTGCTTCCCCTACAGTGGTGTTCAGTTCGGTGGGCAGGCGGGGCTGGGGCCTGGCCGACGGGGATCTTACCTGGTGGCCCTTTGCCTGGGAGGACTAGACAGGCTTAGATCTGAGCCCGGGGCCCAGGAGGGAAGGAGGTACCAGCTAGGGCTAAGACTTCCCTCCTGTAGGTCCTTGTGCCTCTCTCAGTTCTTCTCCAACAAAGTTTGACTCTGAGAAGAAGCTGGCACGTGGCTGAAATGCACTCACGAGGTTGGGGGAAGAGTGTTCTTCCAGCTCTCCCCCCCACAGGACCTCCTGCTCCTCCTAAGTACCTGTCATCAAAAGAGACAAAGATGAATCCCCCCTCAGCCCCCACACCTCAGTGAGTTGTCAAGTGCTCTCCCTCCCACCTGAATAGGAGCGCAGGCCAGGTTGCAGGTTGAGGAAGTCAGAAGTTAACTTGAGCTGGGTTTGCAGCTCTGGAGAGATTGAGGAGCAGGCTTTTTCTCTTGTCACTTTGGAAGGCGAGAATTGTGAGGCCGCCCCTTTAAATAGCATTCCCGTAGGAGGCACATCACATCCATCCGTCACTGCTGCCAAAGCATCATTTTTGGTCTCTATCAAACTCAAAGCTTGTTGGGAGGAATTGTGGGGTTAGGGGAGTGAGGAGGCAGGGTCTCCAAGGGGCAGGGGCAGTTTGGAAGGCAAAAAGGAGAGGAATGAGGCTGGCAGAAGCAGCCTGGAAAAGAGGGGGGTTAGGGCAAGGGGCAGGGAGAGAAAAATCGTGGTCTTTTGAGCCTATGGATGGAGCAGGCATATCTGGTTTTTATCCGTGTAGAGGTAGGGTAAGGCAGACATGGGATTAAATTGCCGCAAGAAGGATGAGGTTGAGGTTAAACACCAGGACTGGTAACTAAAGAAGGAGAAAGAGAGCCACAGGATGGAAAAGCACAAGAAAAAGGTTAGGAGGCTTGGCTCTGGCTTTGTTGCTTACTCTCTTTGGGGACCACATGATTTTTCTGGGCTTAGTTTTCCCACTCGTTAAATGGAGGTGGTCAGACTAGATGGACTAGAAAGTATCTTTTGTGAATAACTTTTTGTTTTGTTTTGTTTCGGTGAATTTTCCTTTCTTAAAATGGGTTAGGAGTTGGGGGCCTGGGAGATCAGGGTGGGATATGCCACTGTGTTGATGAGACCTGTCGAGATCCCTCTGGAAGTACATCTCCCTCCTCTTTGCCACCTCTTTTTTGTTTAAATACCTGCCTAATTTGGGCAGCTCCTTAGCTCTGATCCTAATTTGCAATTCTTTTGTCGTTTCCAGCCCATTCTTTTTCAGTTGTTAAGGAAGGTGATTGCTCTCAAGTTTAAGAAATGGATTGTGTAGGAGTCTGACTGGGGTCTCAGCTGCAGCTTGGTCTTGGCTGGGGCTCTTCCTCAGGCACGGAGGGGAAAGGGGGATGGACGCAGAAGCTAGATGGACAGAGACAGGGAAGTCCCACACTCATTCCGCTTTTTCTCCATCTCTGACTCTGCCATCTCCTTCTGCCCGGGTACTTGCTGGGAGCTGGTTCTGCTGATACCTCTCTGTCCTGCCAGGTCTGAAGGCCTGACCTAACCTAATTACCTAAGGGCGATTCTTTTATGCTGTAAGTCTTTGCCCTGCCACTTCACTTCTGCTCTTTTCTCCTCCATTGCCTGGGAAGGGGAGTAGCCTCACCCCGATATTTAGAATGGAGTAAAATACCTTCTCCTGACCATCCCTCCTTCCAACCTCCAGAGTTCTTGAAATGAAAACTCACATTCTGGGATTCTGGATTAGTGGCCTCTTTGGGATCCAGCAGTTAGTGAATACATCTCCACTTTCTGTTTACATGGGATTCCCCAACTCTAAGGTAGGTGGTTATTAAGGAGAAGAAAAATTCTAAGGGATCCTAAGGTGGTTCCTGCCAGAATCCTAGATAGGATTCAGCCGGATGGGAACGGCTTGCCTGTTACAAAATCTTGAATTCAAATTTCAGCTCATTAATTCTACAAAAAAATTTTTTTAAAGATTTTATTTATTTGAGAGAGAGAAAGCACAAGCAAGGGGACGGGGAGAGGGAGAAGCAGACTCCCTGCCCAGCAGGGAGCCTGACAAGGCTGTGCTGGATCCCAGGACTGTGGGCTCCATCCCAGGACCGTGGGACCATGACCTGAGCCGAAGGCAGGTGCCCAACCGACTGAGCCACCCAGGTGCCCCTCATTCTACAAATGTTTTAAGCAGCTAGGCTATATTGTGCTGGGCCCTTAGCCATTAGATTTCTTTTACTGAAGACAGAATAAGAGGAAATAAAAAGGACCCGCTACGGGAGGGGCTGAGGTGAGACACCAGGAATGGTTTCCTGGTTCTTACGGAGTTCTGTACAGAGATGATGCGGTCCTGCCTGCTCTAGTGGATTCCGTCTGGAAAGCTTTAAGCTTGGAAGAAACTCCCACTGGCCAGGGGGATGGATAGAGGCACCAGGGGGAAGGCCACAGCGATGGAGACATATCAAGACCATCAAGTTAAGGGAACTGAGGAGAGGAATGGGATCCCACGGCAACTCAGAGCAGACCTTGAACTTTTCCCCCCAAAGGCAGGAGCGCAAGGTGGGAGGATCCGGTCTGGGGCGGGGTTCCGACGGCCGATGGCTTCCCTCAGCCAGTGCCCAGGTCTCCCAGGCGGAGAGGGGGACTCATCCCCTACCCCTCCCTCACAACATGGGGCGCACAGGCGGCCAGGAACACGGGGATACACGACGCCACACGCACATACACAGAAACTCAAAACACAGAGCAGGGAGCGCACCCGGCCGCCTGCGCGTCAGGCCGTCTGCAAACGCACACTCGCAGCCCGGGCGCGGGGCACACGCCGCCGCTCCGCCCGGGCGCCGGGGTGCGTGCGCTTGCCCTCGGCGCCGCTGTCTGCGTGTGCGCCCGGCTCCCCGGCGCTCGGCTGGGAGGGGCAGGAGGGGCCGCGAGGAGTGAGAGGCGCGCGGGCAGGCCGAGAAAGGAGGGAGCGCAGGGAGGGGGGCCGGCCGGGGGAGGAGGAGAGAGCAGAGGAGGCGGCCCCGGCAGCGCGGCGGCGGCGGCGGCGGCGCGGAGAGCTCGGACTGGGAGCCAGAGCTCGGCTGGACAGCGCGAGAGCAGGAGCCGCAGGAACTGCAGCTCTGCCAGCTTGGGCCGAGCCCGGAGACACCGGCCTGGCTGGTCCGCGCCAGCCGCAGGTGGGAAGGGGCTGGGGTGGGCGGGGAGGGGCTCCCGGCTCCGGGCTGAGGCTGAGCCGCGGTGCCGTCTCCTCCCTCCGTTCCACAGACAGAAGCTGAGCATGGAGCTGTCCCCCCGCAGCCATCCCGAGATGCTGGAGTCGGATTGCCCGTCACCGCTGGAGCTGAAGTCAGCCCCCAGCAAGAAGATGTGGATTAAGCTTCGGTCTCTGTGAGTCCCCGGCCGGGAGTGGGGGGAAGGGATCTCCGGGAGTCTGGGGCGGGGGGGGGGGGCGGGTAGTCGGAGCCGGGCTCGTGGATTCTCTCCCGCACTCATGTTGGCTGGTGCGAGGAAATAAGCTGCCCTGACACGCAGGGCCAGGCCACATGTGCAAGGCATGTGCGGAGCAAGCCGGCTGGTTGGAGCGGGTTTAGGAGTTGCAAAGCTAACGATGTGCCCGTGCCTGTGGACCCCCGGGGGACACACGCAGCGCGGAGAGGCGGCACATTGTGTGCGGTGTGGCAGGGCTGCGGACGGGCAGCATTCAGGAGGTGCCAGGCAGACTCACACGTATCCGTGTGCAGGGTTGTGCAGATGTGAGACACACATCACATGTGTGTGCATGAGTGTCCGTGGGACACACAGATGTGTGTAGAGTGATTGCACACAGCTGCAGATCTAGTGCATGGGGATACTTGTGCCAACCTGTGGGTCATATGTATCTCTGTTGGGATTGGTGGTTTCTGCCTCCTGCATCTTTCAGGGGGTGGGGATGGGGGGCGCCCCATACCTGAGCTGCTCATCACTCATGGGGCCGGGAAACCCACTGTGCACAGTAATGTTGGGGGTCCTGGCTGGGATCTGGAAAAGTTGGGGTGGAGCCCCTCCCTGGGAGCTGGGGTGGTGGTGGTGGTGGTGAAGAAAGATTGATTGACAGGGGCAAGGCAACTGTCAAAACCTTTTTGTTGCTGTAGGGTCTCCCAAGGATCTCCAAGTACATTGAGGCATCTTTTCTTGTTGTAGGAGGAGGGCATGGGTGGGGGGGCGGTGCTGCTGGATAAATAGGGAAACGAGGGACTCAGGTGTCCCATACTCCAGTCCCAGGGGAGGGAAGCAACTTTTCTTTCTGTTCCTCAGAGAAGGAGAGGAGTGGGTCAAAGACAAACCATGCAGCACATTTTTCGCCCAGTCAGCCGCCATCCGGTAACCTCTGCAGTCTGTTGACGCTTTTTTTTTTTTTTAAGATTTTATTTATTTATTTGAGAGAGAATGAGAGAGAGAGAGAGAACACATGAGAGGGGGGAAGGTCAGAGGGAGAAGCAGACTCCCCGCCGAACAGGGAGCCTGATGCGGGACTCGATCCTGGGACTCCAGGATCATGACCTGAGCCGAAGGCAGTCGCTCAACCGACTGAGCCACCCAGGCACCCAAGTCTGTTGACTCTTAATCAGAGAATGAGGGAAGGTGCCTCTCTCCCTGATATGACTCCCAATGGTCCCAGGAAAAGAGGCTGTGGATGTTCAGTGAGGCAATGCAGGAACCATAGCCCCCAAACCCAGTTCCTCCCCCATTATCTTCAACAATGAGCGCTGAAGCTTTCCATTTCTGGGTTCTGGTGGAGGGAGAGATGGTGGTAGGAGATGGATAGATGCTAATGATTGTTTTGTTTTTAAAATACTTCACCTGTGGTAGTAAGATGACGCCTTGATATTGGGTGGGTGGGTCTGATTTATACTCTAGCTGCTTAGTGAGGCCTTAGGGAGAACTGAGGCCCAGTGGGCAACCAGGCTTGGCATCCAAATGTGCTTCTCACTTCCTGTCCTTTGCTGCCTCTAGCCATTGCAATTTGCTGGGCTCTCTGAAGCGCAGCCTTGGAATGAGTTCTGGGATAAAGAAATGGAAAACCGGATTGAATTGATTTTTATTGGGAGGAGCGCTGAGTGATTCTTGATAGAAAACGATGCTCTGTTAATGGTAACTAAGCTGGGGGTGGGGTGGCAGGTAAGGAAGTGGTGGAAAGGCAAAGAAGGGGGCTCAGGGCTTATAAATGAGAGAATTCAAGGTGTCCCAGGATGGCTTCTCCCCATCATATACCTTCCTTGCCTCCATTCCGGGTACCTGTTTCACTGTCTCCCATACCTTTCTAACCAAAAGTCTTTCCTGGAAGCAAATTGCTATTTCTTCCTTTAGTATGAGAAGTGCTCAGTGGTGAGAGAAGAGGATCCCCAGAGGAGGCATTGAAACCCAGGGAAAGAAGGGAGTAGAGGCAGCTGACCCTACATAGTGCATTAGCTGAGATGTCCTTACAGGAGATCAGGGTGGACAAGGATCACTAATCTTATTGATTAAATTATTCCGGTCTTCACTTACTTCAGCAGTCTGGTCCTTAAGAGTGCTAGCTGCATGTAATAACTTACCCAGAAAAGGCCCATTTCCATATTATTAATCACCAGGAATAGATTCTCAACCTCACTTTCTCAAAGCAGAGAAAGATGTTGATATAAAGGTAGATCCCCAGTGGATGACTTACTGGATTTGGCTCTGTTTGAATACTGGGGAGGCTCTAGTATGGGAATAGGGGGATGGGCACGATTATCTCATGGCTGTGTACTGAATAAAAATGAAGACATATATATAAAGGCCTTGATTCCCCCACACAACATATTCTCCCCCCCCCCCCCGCCTCCCAACTATCCTTTTAATTTCTTATCTAGGACATCTAGATTGTCTTCAGGGAGCCCGGGTCTGGTGTTTTTGCCTCTGGTTAAAAAGCCCATACTAATATAATTTTGCAGGGCAATTTCTTCTTGGGAAGGGCATCCAGGAATCCTGTTTCCCACAGTAGGACTCTGCCAAAGATTAATTCAGAATCTGGAGCATGTAAGCTGAAGAGTCTCTGGCTATGGGATTTCACCTCTACCTAGCAGGAAAATTTTTCTAACTAAGCAGACTCAGAAGTGGAGGCATGAGAGAGGCTGGAATAGGGAGTCTGGAGATCATGGGTTGAGCAGGATGAGCATTTCTGACCCTAAGATGAAAGATTTGACTGGCTTGTCTACCCTTCTCTGAGACGAGAGGGCCTTGAGGAGTGTAGGGGAGGCTCAGGAGCAAGGAGTTTTCTGTGTCTTTTGTGAGTCATTAAAATCTGTGAACGGAGATTGGTTTGCCATCCTTAGCTCATTCATTCATTCAACAACTATTAACTGAGTGCCTCCTGAGGGTCAGGTGATGTGCTGGAGGCTGGGGTATGGTGGTGGACAAAGTAGACACAGTCCCTGCTCCTCTGGATTTGATAATCTGGTTCAAATCCATCAAGTGGAGTAGAGAGTGGGTGAGGCACCCTGTTCCTCATTTTGCTACACCCATCCAAGTAGTAAAACTGTACCACTTTGGTTTCTGCCTAATCTTTTCCTTTGGTGGGGGGGCCTGCACACCCAAGAAAAGCATGTATATGAATTCTTTCTCTTTCTCCCAGGATAGTACAAACATCATTTTCTTCCCTCTGCCCCAGTTTGTCCTGGAATTTTATAGACAGAATCTCCCTTTTCCTTTGGGATAGTATAAACACAATCCCTTTCTCTTCTCCTTTCTTCACATGGGACTCAGGACTCCCAGGGTCTAGGCTCTATGTCCTAAGCTGCGGTTCAAGGTCATTTCAGCTGAGCTGGAGCAAGGACCCCGCTGGGGGTTCTTTTTGCTCATCTTTGTTTCATCAGAGTCTAGTGTGGTACCTGAAACATAATAGGCACTCAAGAAATGCTGTTAAATAAAGGAATGAACAAATGAATTAATGAGTATCCACGTATATGTCACGGAGCCCAGTTCTGTCTCTGATTCTGTGGTATGTGTGCTCCTGTACGTGGGCGGGGGCGGGGGGAGGTGTAGCAGGAAATGGAGGTGGAAGAAAAGGAGGTGGTGTTGTTTTTTGAGAGGGAGATGTTTAAAAGGTGCGGGATTTGAGGACCTCAGGACAGAGCCCAGAACTGAAGGAGTTACAGAGAGGATATGGAAACGTTATTTGGACGTGTGAATGAGACGTATCAGGATGAAATCACGAATGCCTGACATGTATACATATGTGTCTGGGTGAAGGTTGGCGTGCGGGTGGGGGACAGCTCGTGGAGTCAGAGCTCCGTGATGATGTCTCTTTGTTTTCAGGTTTATAAATGGCATGTGTGATAATAAATATGTTGGGAAGGTTTGCACTTACCCGAATACCTGAAATGATTGCTCTGTGTATGAATGAGATGATGTATGTGAGTGTGTGTGTGTGTGTGTGTGTGTGTGTGTGTCTAGGTAATGGGATAATATGTGATCTTGTCTATGTGTTTGTGACACACCAACGTTTTTTTATAATCCTGGGGAGATCAAATGGGCAGGAGGAAGAAGCTGAGGGACTGGACTGGGTGCCTCACTGGCTGATTTAGCCCACCTTTTGTCCTCATTTTGTATATGCCCCACAGAGTGATCTTCTGTGGCTCTCACTGGTTTTGAAAGCTGTGCAGCGGTTCCCCCTTTTCCTGCATATGTTTGTGGAGCTGCTGTGAAGATGGCAAGATAAACTGTGGTTCCCTGGATCTCTGGAGAAAAAGGAGCACCATTTCTCCCAGGCCTTGCTTGGCAAGATGACTTTTTGTGCCTCTCTCCACGGAGCAGCCCTTCCTCTTTCATTTCCAACCGTGGCAAAGGGAATGTCTCCTCCCTGGGTTTTATATCCCCCCTCCCAACATTCCCTTCCATCTTTACATTTCTTTCATCAGCTGTGCCTTGAATGGGGCATCTCTGGACAATAGAGGGTAAAAAAGGGAGCTGCAGAGAGAGGGGACATCAATTTAGACCAAAGGAAGAATTTCACAGGCCTCTGGTCAGAAGAGGTGGCTGGAGGGGACGAGAGTAGCAGTGTGGTGAGAGGGGAGGAGCAGAGGGGATGGTGGGAGATTCGAGTTTGAGGTCACGTTCCCATGCTGCCAATTACCAGCTGCGTGATCTTTTTTAAAAAAATATTTTATTTATTTATTTATTTATTTATTTGAGAGCGAGAATGAGATAGAGAGAGCATGAGAGGGGGGAGGGTCAGAGGGAGAAGCAGGCTCCCTGCTCAGCAGGGAGCCCGATGCGGGACTCTATCCCGGGACTCCAGGATCATGACCTGAGCCGAAGGCAGTCTCCCAACCAACTGAGCCACCCAGGCACCCCCAGCTGCGTGATCTAGACAGTCATGTAGTCTCCCT